TTGACTGGTAACTTTTTTCCAAACTTTTGCTGTAAATTTAATTGCATGTTTAATTGAAATTTTTTCATATTCTTGACTGTTTATTTCTCTCTTCTTCATAATCACTAATTTTATTGCAAGAAAAATTTTTTGTAGTTCACCTTGAAGTTGTTAATTATCCAGGCATCACATGGTTATAAAAATGTTGTTGTGTTTGGTAAGTAAACTCTTACATTAATTAAATTTGTTGATTCAGAAATAGAATGAGTGGGAGCATTGTGACAATAAGCGTGTTCAAATTATTAATATTAAATAATTATGACATACTGAATTTCTTAATTTGGTAATGATTACCTCATATCATGATCGTTGGCCGTTATAGACAACACATAAAACATATGAGAGAATTTTCAGAGGCTGGCCATTATACGCTATAGGAAATTTAATTAAGAAAACCGTTATAGAGTAAGGTTTTTATATAGTAAAAATTTGGTTTCTGATTCACAGTGCATTATAGAATGGAGGCTGTTATAGAGGGGGCCGTTATAGAGAGAGTGAACTGTATTAATCAATCTAATCCTATACAAGATTCCATCTGGTTTATCAAGAGAGTACAGATGTAGGCTGAATCCTTTCAATTATAAAATAATTAATAAATTTATTTTTATAATCAAATGATATTTACAATAAAAATAATAAAATGAAAATTACCTTTCATCATTATACCAAATATTTCTAACTTTATACTCAATTTATTTTTATATTCTAGTGTGCCATATTTCTTGTAAAAATAACCAAATATGAGATCATGGATATCTTTCAACATCCTAAAGAGCTTTCTCAAATCAAATTCTTGCTTTTCAATATCTTTTGACCATGGGTTTCCAGGAATCTCATGAACAAGGAGTTCAAATGGGATAAGTTTATGAAAATTGTTGTAGTGTTTATTTGTCATTAAAGTTGCATCTGACTTGTGACCAAGCTGTTAAAAAAATATTCTAAATTAATATTTATTTTATTCTATTAAAAAAAAATATCAAGTATCATTCTTGACCCATTAGCTGTTCATCTCTATTTTATAATAGAATTGACATGATGAATTAAGTTAGGGACAAGATCAATACATTTGTGTCAAGTATAAAATGATAGTTAACTTGAAACGATTCTTCATTTTCTTTATTGCTTATTCTTATTTTTGATGTCTTGCTAATTTTTTCTGCACTAGATTAAGCAAAAGACAATATTACTACTAATTGTTTGTCTTAAATACATTTAGAAAAAAAAAATACATTATTAATTTCAAAAATTCTGCATCACAGACTGCTACACAGAGTGGGATCCAAACCAAATCAAGTGGCCATGTACCTTCATTAGTGTCACATTTTTTGAATTTATGATAGATTTTGTTTTTTCTTAGATAAAAACTTAAAGTTATATATATATAAATGTATTAAATGAAAAGTTTGATATCTT